TTTTGCAGGCTTTATATACACTCATGACAAGAATTTGAATACGGGTATAGATAATGGATAACGCGCCGCATAGCGATAAGCGACTGAACTATTTTATAATACTTTGTGCTAAGCTGCAGATTCTGTTCGGTTTTTGCTGTCAATTTGCTATCAGATTGCGCACTTCAGATCTTGCTCAGTTTTTGCTGACAATCTGATGTCAGTCATGTCAGCAAGGTTTGCTCGGTTTTTGCCGCCAATTTGCTGTCTAGTTATGTTAGCAAGCTTTGCTTGGTTCTTGCCGGCAATCTGCCAGCTTAATCGGTAATAACAACTCTTGTACCAAATTTGTAGCCTTTTTGCTGACAATAATTTGTAGCAAGTACTTGGCAATATCTGTTAGAACAAACGTGGCTGACTGGGTATATATGTGATACAAAATATTTAACAAATAATGATAACAAATGATATTTATTCAGTTAACTTTGCTATAGATGAGAAATATTTATCAAAACAGAATATTTATTACGACATACCAAATAATATCATTAAAGCCATTTTAATTACAAAGATAATAATTTTCTATTATCTCGTTATTATTGTATTATTAATAAGATATAATCTAAATTATATCATTGGTAAATTCCTACAATATTGTGTCTTTTTACATCTTACAGAATACTAAGATTGACTTAAGGAAAAATAATAGATTTAAAAATAATTTATTAGGTCCTTTGATCATAAAAGAGCGAGAATGGAGGTGCAAGATTTTGAAACGGTGCATAACATGAACGTATGGCAAGTGGAATCTTCTCCATTTGTTAGACATACAATGAAAATATGGAATACGTGCATACAATATTGGATGGCTGTATGCATTTATAAAAGATTCCCCTATAAAAGTTTAAGAACTGTCGTTACATTGACTCTCTCCGCTCTATGGCACGGTTACGCTGCAGGCTATTATTTTTGCATCTGTCAAGTTCCACTTTATTTATCTTTTGAGGATATCTGCGTTAAATTTTACAACCAATGTGAAGAGAACGGATTTGTGAGTTGCTCATATATAATAATTTTAGATATATCATATATAGGGGAAAGTAGGGTAAAACCAGATACTTTTTTGGATTAGTCTTCCTATAAAAAATCAGAGGGCGAAAAAAATTCTACTGACCGTTAGTAGTGTTTAGTGGATCTTGAACTATGAGGAAATGAGGCTAGTTGCCGAAAAAAAATATTTAGTTACCAATGATAACAAGATTTTTTGAAGAAGTCAAAACACCCGGTTTTGTCCCACTGGTAGGGTAAAATCAGGTACCTATTTAAAAGCATGTAAAACGCTGTGCAATTACGAAATCTTGATTTATTTTAATCAAAATACAATACAGAAATGTATTCTATAAACAAAAATCACAAATAAAGATATCCTCTTGCTCTACATTGTTGCAGGTCTTTCTTATTTAATTTTTTAACTTTAGGGGTCTCAAAAAGCTTTTTTTTAGTAGTTTTTTTTTTTTTTTTTTTTTGAGTGGCAATCTTCATTTCCAATTGCTTTTTGGAGAAAGACAAAATCAGGATGGCAATTTTTCTTCTTTTCATTATATGAGGTGTGTAGGTACCCGGTTTTGCCCCAACGAAGAAAATAACAAACACGGTAGCTGTACATTCTGGCGTATAAAGTGACGATCAAATCTAGTGCGATATACTCTCTAATACGTACAGAATGACGATTCGATTGCCCCGATATCGATCTTTTTTGGCCTGAAAATTTTAAACTTTTTTTAAAAAAGAAATATCGTCGTGCATGGGCATGGTTCATCTTAAAATAATAATGACGTCAATCTACAACTAATAGCACGAGTTGATCAAAGATAGTAGCACTCATCACGAAGAAATAAAGGTATCCGATTTGACCCATCTACCCGGTTTTACCCTACTTTCCTCTACACACACACACACACACACACACACACACACACACACACACACACACACACACACACACACACACACACACACACACACAGGGTGTCTGATAATAATTGTATCACCTCTCATTTGCAAGTAGAGCCTGTTATACCGAGTGGGAAAGTCTTCTACCGTTTTGCGATTTTTGCAATAATAAAAAATAAATAAAAAATTAACCAATTCACGCGAGTATTATATATATAATTATATATATATATATATACAGATCGCTTATAACTCAAAAACTATTGCAACCTCAAAATTTTTGTATTAGAATTTTTGACTCTATTTTATCTCTAGAATACACTAGAGTCCTATATAATCAGAGAAGCGATATCGTTACTCCCTCCATGCTTCCCATGATCGCCATGTTGGGCCCGTAGCTGTCC